AAAAAAAAAAAGAAAAAAAGAAAACGCAAGTGCTTAGACCTACTGGACCAAAACGAAAACAGAAATATGTTTTATCAGCCCTTCAGACAACTCTGATGTAAACTAACATCCTAGCACCACTGGCAAACACTTCAGTGAAGGGACCGCTCAGTCTTTGAGTCACACGATGATCTCTAGGCTTTTGCAGTTTACCCTTCTCTTTCCCACGGTCCCTTGTGTTAGCCTCGCTCAGTCTTCGTAGTCTGTGAGTTCCCGACAGCATTCCAACCACTCATTTTCTTGTGTATCCTAGAAGAACCTAAGTTGCTAAGAATTTACTTCAGTCAAGCAGCTACTTTCTAAAGCAGGCAGCTCCGTTTTTAGAAGATAGAAATTTTGGATGGGCTGGGAATATAGAACCACCCCCGCATCCACTGTACAGGATCAGGGACAAAGTGGAAACACAAAGCTACAAGCCTTTAGCATCATTAATGGGAAATACGAGGCAGGGCACAGCGAAGGCCAGTGGGAACCCAGTGCCCAGCGGTGCCTCCCACCTGACTTGTCCCCAGAGAAGTGCAGGGGTCCCACAGAAACTGAGCAAAAGGCAGCAAGAGGTAACCTGCAAACAGTGTGGTCCCATAGACACATTTTCATGTTGTGAATCTTAAGCTGAAGTGGAGAAAGTCAGTGTGACACTTTAAGTGATAATGGGAAACCATTATCACTTTGAAATACGCCTTTTGGGACCTCCATGTGTAGGCAAAGGGTTAAGTCTCAGCATTATGGAGCTGTCCACAGCCACTGTAGCAAGAGTTCGATCCCCAGCCAGGGAGCTGACCCACATGGTGCAGCAGAGCTCTCCTGTCTCGTCTGCTGCTCTCTTCAGCAGTGTATTACAGGTGTATTACAGTGAATCTGTCTGTGCTGCTCCCCACTCTGTCTGGTAAATCTTCTCATCCCTTATCTCCCCTGCACCTCTGGCCTACACCTCAGCTGTTAGATGCATAAATAAGTAAGTTTTTAAAAAATATGCCTTTTATCTATACTAGACTGGTTGACTACGTTTGCCTTTTTTTTTTTTTAAGATTTATTTATTTATTCATACAGAACTGGGGTACAGGTCCACAGGTGCAGGGGCAGTGAGAGGATTCACCAGAGACAGAGTGGGGAGCAGAAAGGCAGAGTGAATGAAATACACTGCTGAGGGGAGCAGCAGGCAGGTAGGGAGAGATCTGCCTTGCCATGTGGTTCACCTCCCTGGCCAGGGATCGAACTGCTGAAGCCGCTCTGCTAGCTTCATAGTCTTCATAGTGCTGCGCTTAACCCATTGCCCCACTAGGGAGGGCTGAAGCTTGCCATTTTTATATTCTCATTTAACAATAGCATGAGGACCAGACTTTTTTTTTATTTTAAATATAACAGTTTATTTTTACATAAATTTGTGCCTTTTTCCATCTCAGTTATAATCCCTGTGGACTTCCCACCACCAATTCACTCGTGTGCCATCACCATAGTCCAGTGTACTTCCACTCCTCCTCCCCCCCATTTTTGATCCCATTCCCCACTCCACCCCCGTAAAATGTCTCTGGCATATAGTTGTTCATGATTATTATTATTTTCTCCCCTGGGAGGGCCATATTTCTTATTTGGGACCTTGGTGAGCTACATTTTCATTAGCCATAGTAAATTCTTCAACTGTTAAATTGAACTTGAAAGTGTTTTGATTGAAGTTTATTTGAAAGATCAGATCATTCTATTGTCCTAGATTTCTATGTTTTGATGTTCAAAACTGAGAGTTGAGAATTTGTAACACAGATTTATATCTGGTATATAACAGTCGCATTTTCCTTTCTGTTTTGCACACCTATCTAGTTAATTACAAATAAATACCACATGTAGTGGGAACAACGCTGGTCTGTCTTGGTGTTAGAAAAGTCCATGTAAGGATTTGGAATCTTTTATCCTTGTGTTTTTGCTTAGAAGGCAAAAGGAAT